ACACACACACACACACACATATATATATATACATACAGTTATGACATTTTAATGTTGACTTGTAAATATCATAGTGTTCATTCGTCTTTCTAAGCAGTTTCTCTAATCTTTGGGCCCGGCATGGCCAGGTGGATAAGGCGCTCGACTCACAATCTGAGGGTCGCGGGTTCGAATCCCCATCCCACCAAACATGCTCGCCCTTTTAGCCGTGGGGGCGTTACAATGTGATGGTCAATCCCACTATTCGTTGGTAAAAGAGTAGCCCAAGAGTTGGCGGTGGGTGGTGATGACTAGCTGCCTTCCCTCTAGTCTTACACTGCTAAATTAGGGACGGCTAGCGCAGATAGCCCTCGTGTAGCTTTGCGCGAAATTCCAAAAAACAAACAAACAAACTAGTCTTTTGTGTTGTTAAAATGTCATTATTCTGTAAGCAGTTTCTCCAGTCTTTTGTGTTGTTAAGAATGTTATACTAAACCAGAGCTTATACGAACGAGTTAAACAAATCCTTCTTCATACAATAAAAACAGTGAATTATTATATGTTAAGATAACTTAAGAAAATATACTAAATTTTTATCAAAACAAAATATTTATTTTCACTCGTAATTAACTTACACACTTGACATACACCAATACTCTGGAGTTCAGGTATTTTACGGACCAAGTTCATTTCATTCTTTTTTGTAATTATTCCTTGCACCTAGTCATTATCATTTCCGTAAAGTATTGCTTCAGCTTTACAAGTTAGGTAATCTGTGTGTGGAACAATCTGGTTTCGGTAGGTAAACCAACCGTTACGAAAATATGCATATTACTTGGAAAACGTTGAAATTGAGACTATGTGGGAAACACACAATAAAAGCATAGCAGGGTGATTTTCAAATAACACAATTTCTTCGGTGATTGCTGTGACTATAAAATCAGAAATTATATTTAAGAAAAACCGAAAAATTTATGTAACATAATGAGTGTGTGTATATATATATATAGCAACTGTTGTGGTGTGAACGCCTTTCCTGAGGCGGTGAATTTGCTTCGTCAGCTCAGAAAAGGCGTTCACACTGTGACAATTGTTCCGACCACTACTGTGTTTGTTGTCTCTGTATTGGACGAAACGCGTCATCGGCAATGGATATGGCGGTCATAGTTTGGTTGAAATATTATTGTTCACTCTTCTTGAAATAGCTGATGAAATATCGTTATAACACTAACAATGTAATGAAAACAATGTTTCAACACCTCGTGATAACACTAACAATGTGAATAAGACATTTTTTCAACATTTCGTAATAGAAACCTCGTTATAAGAAACAGAACATCGTAACCCTAATTTTGAACATCAAATAATAAAATTAAAAATGTGATGAAACCACAATTTTGAGCACGTTCTGATAGCGTAGAAACTAATTTCCCACAACAGACTGGATACGGTGAATGGCAAGACGTTGGAGGCTCGAACAAAGACATCCGCTTTTATTGTTATTATTTTTCTCTGGTGCCTGTAAGTAGAAGGGAAGTCTCATGTTTGGGTCTAACTTCTGGAGATATCTCTTTAAGTAAGAAATCCTCCAACTGCACAATATCAATATGGTATCAGTTAGAAAAGAGAAATTGGTGAGTTACACTACAAGAAAAGGCACGAAATCTGTACTTGTCTGACATCTAACTCCTTATGTTATAAGAAACATTTGAGACTTTTTATTTGTACATTCAGCATGATATGCTGGCAGCGGTTTAAAATCCGTTTGTTGAATTTTGGACAAAACTAACTGCTACTCGGAGATTATCCACACTACCCGTCCCCTATTTAGAAGTGATAGTCTGAAGGGCAGGCCGCTACTCAACACCACCCACCACCAACTCTTGAACTGCCCTGCTTGAATAGTGGACTTGACCGTCACATCATAAACTCCTCCCTCCCACCTCTGAAAATGTAAGT